CTTTCAACGGGGCGGGGGGGGGCAGTTGTCTACTCGAAATCTCAAAATGCATTTTCTCAGACGGAGGCACCTTATTCGCTAGGATTTCCCCATCGCTTTTCCCTCCGTGTGTCGCAGCGACTACGAAAGCAAGAATTGAGCATCTGGCCGAAACAGCATTACCCTTAGGCAGCCGAGGACTAGTCGCACGGCTATCACGTAAACGGACGACAGGTAAGCCAACGACGGAACGAAGATGGTCAGTAGCGACGAGAGACCAATACAGGTGAGTAGGATCTGCTTGCCGCTGTAGCGACTGCACAACCATAAGCCAAGAGGAGCGACAACCGGCACCGGCAGGTAGTAGGCAATGACGATTGAGTTGCGGTCGAGCAGAGTCCACGCCAATCGGTCATCGGCAGACTTCGGAGGGACAGATAGAACCTCTGTGCAGGACTCGCCCAAGGAGTCATTAACCTCAGGAGCAAAGACAAACGGAATGGCGAAGTTGATCCTGAACAGCTCGGTACAGAATATGCACGCACACAGACACGTCACTATGGTCAGTCGGACACTGACCAGCAGAGGAGCTGAGGCTTGGCGGCAGTGAAGAGAGTTGTTCATGAGGTCCGGCTTGGAGAGAGACCTGCGCTTTCGGCTTAGCCAGTTCGCGGTCAATCTTCAGGTCCGCAGGTGTTCGTCACCGGGCACCATTATATGGCACTGAAGGCCGTCACGTCCCCCCGGTAATACGTGCGTGTGACCTTGAACATGCACAACCGAGTATTCATTTACAAGTTGTGGACAGCAATTGGGCCGTTCACGTGATTATTAACATTGCAGACGATGAGCCTTATCAATCAGAGCGTCATTCATCGGATGATGGCAATGCCTGGCGCATACTTCTTACTTCATACCGCGCTTGGCGCTGCTGGAATCGATATCATAGACAAAAACTTGTCTTAAGCTGCTTCGGCATTAAATTACGACCCTCACATGAAGCTGAGTGCGTTTCTGAATACATCATGGCAGTCGTCATGTACCTGTTCAGCCTTTCGTCG